AAAAAAAAAAAAAAAAAAAAAAAAAAATCTCATTTTTCTCACAACTATAATGACATTACAAACATTACATAGCACGGGCGTGTATACGTATATATATATAATACCGTATACTATAATATATATACGTGCGTCACGATTAAAATACATAATAATATTTATTAGATATTATTCGAATATAGTATTATAATATTATATTTTATTGTTTCAAACGAAAACAGTTTTCGGAATTGTAAGCGAAATCGTTTTTCATATACGCGATTCGATTAATTGTACATTATAGAAATAGCGCGGTGTAGTTTTTCCGGATGTTTTTCTCCCCTATACGCCCGTGTTGTTATAAAAAAAAAAAAAAAAAAAAAAAAAAAAAAAAAAAAAACATAAAAAAGAAAAACATCCAAAAACGGAATCGAACGGTCCGATCCGACCGTATCACCGTCACCATCGTACGTACACGACGCAGTCTTATTCGGACTAAACAATTTAAAAACACTGCTGATGGGTACTGTTTCGGGAGGGGTGTTGGAAACGGAGGTCATACTATAGAGCGCGATTTAATTTATACGCTTGTAAATGCTACGGTAGACCGTCGCTAACGAAAAACGATTCAGAGCGGTGTGCAATACATCGGGGTTGGAAATCGAAATAAAAATTATACGCAAAATCGCCGCTCGTTCCCGTTTACTGAGAAGGAAAACCACAAAAAAACGATCGCCTCGACCGGATTTAAAACGCTACGAAAATTTCGATCGGAACGAGTTTTCCGGTAGAAAAAAAAAGGTTAATAAAACACGGACACGCGTCGCGGTAAAACCGAAATTTTTCTCGTTCGCCCCATCACCGACGGCGGGGACGTTTTTCGCGACTTGTCGAGAATTTTTTTCGTGGTCATATTTTTTTTTTTCCGCCGCAACGTAACGTCGTAATGAATGCGCTCGTGATTTACGCGCGCGCGCGTCTTAACAACAATAATAATATTTCTCACGCGTTTCCGGGCGGCGATAATATTATAAAGACGTCGGTCGTCGTCGTAAAAACACAAATATTATATTATTCGTATATATAGGTATGAAATGTCGATTTGTCCGCGGGAGCGATTCGCGTGCTCCCGGACAGAAGAAGAGAAAACCGTGTCGTCACCGCCGACAGTGTGTATGTACAGTCGTGACCGCCGTGTTTTTTTTTTTTTATATTTTTTTATTATTTTTTTTTTTCCGGAGGCCCATTACAAAACGATCAGCCGGCGCAATAAAGACCTCACACGAAATAATGAAAAATAAAACGGGGCCCTCCTCCTTCTCCCCGTAGCCCCGCTCCGCCACTACCGCGCGGCGTTCTCATCTTTTACGGATTACCAGGCCGAAAATTGCCCCGCAATCAATTATCATTACCCGTTTTTCGCGGCGGCGGCTCTATAATAATAATAATAATAATAGTACACGACTTTGCGTAGAACGGACGTGTTATTTTTTACAATTTGTTTTTTTTTTTAGTCGCCGGGGAAACGCGCGAGCGTACCGTTTTTATTTTTTGTTCCGATCTCGTTCACTGTGTGTACACAGAAGAATTCCTATAATATCGTTACAAATACGCCTTCCGCCGGACCGGGCTCACGGATCCGCCGGGTAATAAGCTCTCGAATCAATAGCCGGCACGCAATAGTATAAAATAATGTTATTTTCGTTTTCGGGGGCTGATCGATAAGTAATGTTTGCACTGCGGCTCGGCCTCGGTGTCTGTATCACACGCGAAAAAAAAAACACATTCGGATACGGTTTTTCGTAACAATCGGTACGATTTTGTTTGTTTTTCAAAAGTTTAAAAATATAATAATTGAAAAAAATAATAATTAACAGAAACTTGTACGGAACAATTTTCAAGCGAAATCCGTTTGTTTTATTACCGCAGTCTTGACAATTTGTTTTCTAATAACGTGTATTTGATTTAATCTATACCTACGGTTATCGGAAGAAATTCAAAACTTGACCGACATTATAACAAGTGGTTGGTACCGACACTCGGTTTCAATTTCTAAGTCTTAATAACATTATGCAGAACGTATGTAGACGAATACGACAGTAATCAGTTTACAAAAGTACGTTAGTTTTTTTTTCTTATTATTATTATTATGAGATTTTAACATAAATTATTATTATAATATCTCAACGATTAAAATTGATGAAATTCGGAAGATAAATAAGTAAATCTCACACGATTAGATTTCAAGATCCGATTGTAATACATAATTAAAAATACGTGTGCCTAATTATGGTTCTATTATTCGCCGAAAGAGCAGTCGTGACGGAAAAACTGACATAGCCGAGGTGAGAAATTAAGACGGGCAGTTTAGAAGCGAACGTTGGAAATCAATTACGCTATATTTAAAAACGAATTAAAAATAAAGACGAGATGATTCCGAACCTCCATAATTCGCCGATATAGAAAACGGAAAAAAAAAAAAAAAAAAAAAACGAAATGTCCAATAATACCGCGAACGACTCCTCGGTTATACTTGTCGACAAAATCGATATTTTCCTGAAGACGATTTCTCCGCGACGACCAGTGGATGTTTAACGCCGAACAAATAATAAAATATTATTATACTTTTAGGTTATTAATGGCTATTTTTTTTTTTTTTTTTCCGAGCTGTCTGCAGGTTATTGCACGACTGCCGCGGAACCCTTCGATTCCAATCAGACTTTTTTCTACACTATGTATACCTGTACATACGTACCTATATACTTAAATTTTATGCGTTCGCGAATACGGATTCACGATAGTACCGGCGGATAATATAATGATTTAACGATAATTATACTATCGTCGTCGTACTAGTTTTGCCGGGGCTGCAGTATATAAATATAAATTCCCGGTGAAATCGTCACGTTCGCATACTTTTAATGTACCTACCTATGTATAGGTGTATGTATGAATATGTGTATTATATATATTTTTTTTTTTTTTATTTTCATTTTATTTATCCAACGGTTACGAAAGTATTTTTATTTTTTTTTTTATTATTATTATATTTTTTTTTTTTTATTATTGTAATGAGTATACATTACACGTATTATACGGCAGTAGTACAAAGACTTTTCACACGTGAAAGTAAATAATATATATATATATATATATATATTATAGATTTTATTTCGTTTCGTGAATATATTGTATTGTACATTTTTTTTTTTCATTTAATTTTTATTCTTACCCTCGGAACTACCGTAATATTAACGTTTCCCAGACTCGAGTACGGTATCCTCTGACCGGCCGGATATAATATTGCCCATGTCGTTATCCGTTTCGAGCAAATACCTTGGAATCGACCTTAAAACGTTCACGTTATAGAATATTCGGATATTCGAACGCGGTTTTTTCCCTGGCAATATCGTAAACGACATGCTAAGCCCCGTCGCGGTTTTCCGCCTGCCGGGATTTTAGGTTTTGTCTATTATCGTTATAGCGTTGAACTTATAGCGTTATCGAGTTATTAGTATATACGTTCGTGATGAAGCAACCAAAAGAGATTAGACATCTTTGCGGCGGCGTTTATAACACGCCCCCCCCCCCGGAACCGCGTGACTATTATTGTATTGCTTTTAGCGAATAGCACCGGCGGCTGTATCCTTTCCCTGTCGCAGGCCTTCCCCGTTTTTCCAAATCGGCGCGGTATTAATCAATTTCCGGGACGTACAAACGACAGTCACGTAGCCGGAGCATATACGACGGAATGTACAAAGTGACTGCAGCAGCATAGCGGTGGCGGAGCGGAGGAAGAATAAAAAAAAAAAATAATAATAATAATAATACTATAATAATAATAAAAAAGTCGCCCCGATAGAAAGAGTGAGAGAGAGCGAGAGAGAGAGTGAGTGGGGGGGAGGGAGGGAAACACGGTGAATCGATCGATGTTCTTGCTATTATTTATAAATATATATATATATTATATTGTTTTGGTACAGGAATTGTCGGTTTTTATTATTATTATTATTTTTTTTTTTTTATTTTTCCCCGAAAGACCACGGGTAACGTTCCGTGACACCTAGCCGCCTCCCGCAGCAGTATACCTGTACCCACAACAAACGACAACGACGACAACAGAGCCCGCCGGTGTGGGAGTTCCAAATTATCCGAAATTTATCACAATTATTGATTGTTTCTAGTTCGACCAATTGGTCACGCCGGTGTGATAATAACACGTATACCCGGGCTTACTGCAAGCAGTGTGTAATATAACGTAATAGTGATTGATCTTATGCGATACTATTCGGACGGATCGGCGGAGTGTCGTCATAAATAACTATCGCGGTGAACGTTGAAATTTTTTTTTTTTTTCTTATAAATATATAATAATATACGCGGCGGCGATGACAATAACAATTATAATGTCCCGGCGCAAAGCGGTTCGTACGTAATTTTCTAATATTCACTTATTAGCAGGCGTGTATTATGTGTGTATTATCATCGTCGTTATTATTTACGCCCCGACGAGAGAATTAAGTCGTTTTTTTTTTTTTTTTCTTTTTCGAAATTTATATAACGACGCGGAAAGCGATGTATCTACCTAGCCATATTATAGTTTTTCTTTTTCTTCGATTCCCGTTTAAGAGTTTCCGCGAATGTATTAAAAAAAAAAAAAAAAATAATACGTATAAAGAAAAATACTATAATACCGCCCGTACCTGTATATATATATATATATATATATATATACATATATATAATATAATATACTCGTATTATATTATTAAAGAAACGAGAAAAACGCGTCTTTCGCCCGTTGTATACTCGCGAGCGCGCGCGCGAATCGATTTGTAACCGTCTCAAAGAGCTTTTCCACTTTGGCAAATTACACCGGCGGACGGCGAAAGGAAACAAGTAGCGGGGAGGCTGGGGGAAAAAAGAGGAAAGAGAACGCGACAGGGGGAAAAAAAAATAAAGGGGGAAAAGAAGAAAAAAAAAGAAAAAGGAAAGGTGCGTGCGTTATGTCTTTACGGGTATATGAAAGCCGAGGAAAAATAATCGAGAGAAAACGAACTTTCCGTAATGGCGCAATAAATATCTAAAAGTATAGCAGTCGTGCCGCTGCACGGTATATTATGAGAAGGGGTGCGTATAAATACATTTTTGAACTCGGAGGCGGGACGCCGTTATATTTATACGTGTGTGGGATATAAGAGAAGAGGGTGCCGGTGAAAGATCGTCGGGTTTTTTTTTTTCTTTCCGCTTTTCCCGTAATGTACAAAACGTATAGGAGATTAAATTTATTTAGCAAAAAAAAAAAAAAAAAAAAAAAAAAACACTAAACAAAATTCGTTTATCGTCGCGTGCCGTACAATAAAATATCGATTCGATTAAAAACCGGTTTCGCCTGCACAAACGTTACACGGCTTACAACACCGACAGGGACGGCGTATTTTTGTATTCCGAAACTCATCAGGCGCTCGCTAACATGTAATCGGTAAAATAATTTAAAACGGTACGTACAGAGTTTTTGAGGGGTTTTTTTTTTTTTTTTTTACGCTATTAAATTCACTACTGTCGAGTAGAGTATTGTTAACGGATTTCAGAGTTATGAAAATATTATCGGAGTTTAAACAGTCGAGAATCCCGAATCGCATAACAAAAAGGACCGGGTGAATTTTTTTTCTTTTTATGAAATTCAGTCATCATCCGATTCGTATTTGTTTATTTTAAATACATGTTCGTTTTGGAAATATTAGCCGCTAAAGTCAGTGTTTTAGAGCGTAAAGAAAACAAGTCCAGGACACGTGAGCAGCGTCGAGTCGGCTGGAATTAATCCGCGGTCGATAAAGTCATAGAAGTCGTTACTACCTTTTCGGTATTCAGCTGTAAGCATACCCCCCTCCCCCCATTTTCCCCCTAAAAGTCCGTTCAAATTTGTCATTTACGTTGTTTTTTTTTTTTTTTTTTGTAATGTTCTACTTATTATTTTCAATCGCGCGCACGTATCTATCGAATTTTCGATTTGTATAAAAACCTATCCGCAACTGGAAAAACCGAATCGCGGACTAACTAATAATTATTGTGATTCGCGTTACAAGTCCACGACCGCAAAACGCGACTAATACGAGCAAATCCGTATAATATCACGTACACGATTAACACATTCGAACAAAAGCTCGAACAAACAATCGTTACAGAATTCATCGACCGGCACAACTTTTGTTTTACCGTTAAACGGGCGAGTATTATTGTGGTATTTCCACTGTCCATTAATAAACGTCGAAAACATTATTCATATTTATGTGCAATACGGGCTACGCGCAGGATAATATTTATTGCGAAACGATTTAAATACCGCCGAATACAATACACGCGAGATAAACATTATTCATTACCGTTAAAAATATTGTATACGTGGTGTATTGTTTCGGCGATAATATCATTATGTAAATATTATGGTTCTGTATTATACGATAACGTTTTTACCGCCGAGTTCCGATAATTTTCACGAACGGATAAAAAAAAAAAAAAAATCTAATACTTTTTCAATGAGTATCAACGGGTTCAATCCTACATCGCCGAAGTTCGGATGTTGTAACTCGATAAAACGTTTATTAAAAAAGCGCATTAAAATCCTAAATAAATCACTGATAATTATTGAACTATTAAAACTATGAAAAATTAAAAAGCGATTTAACAGTAAAAAAAAAAAAAAAAAACGAGCCAAAAAAAATCTGACCTGCCCAGTAGGCTCAAGTCACGCGGTAACTTAAAAATCGTCCGTCCTCTATAATAATAAATACATCACGTCGAAATTGATGGCAAATAATAACAGGTAATAAATACAATTTGGCCGTGTTAATTAGAAATTTGACTAGGAAAAATATTAATCTTCATTTTTTTTTATTTTGTCGACCGATTTACAAGGGATTCCGATTTTACACGGAATAAAAAATATCGAAAATCACGAAATAAATAATACGGAGATATATTTTTTTTTCACTATTATTATTTTGCTTGTAACGTGGTATCGGGGGGGGGGGATGGGGGAATATCGACGCGTATATCATCCGTCCAAAAGTCATTATTATTGTTTGTACAGTAAAACGAAAATATGTTTTTTTTTTTCGAACGGATAAAAAAGAGAAAAAAAGCTCGCAATAAAAAATAATAAAATACTCGAGACGATAATATTATAATAATTTTTTTTTTCCTCCCCCCCCCGTGATATTATACGCATCTGACGCGGTAGACGTAAAATAAATTAGATTAATCTCGGTTTGCGTATCATCATCGTCGTTTCGTTCGGTATATACGTATATATAATAATACACAATTTGGATAAAATATTTATCCCGTTGGTATTTTTTTTTTCTCTTCGCATTTTCGGGCACGTCATATTTTGAAAATGATAAATTCAACAGCGGCAGCACTCCTGCTCCTCCGCGTTCGTTCTCTTCTCCGTTCCGTATACGTATTACGTATATATATATATGTATACGTATGTATAGCTCGTGGCCCGCAATGTGCACGCAACTGTGAAATATGACCGTGTATACCACCCGCCCCCGACCACCCTGTATGTATTTATATATATATACGTATACTTTCGATCCGGTTTTCTACTTATACGTGTATAAAATATACTACAACAGAGGTATTATATTTTTTGTTTTTGTTTTTTTTTTTTTTCCTCTCTTCTCTTTTTTTTTAATTTCGCGGACCGTCGACTACCCCTAACCCGGGGGTCCGTGATTGATTGCACGCCGGTCTCGCGAATTATATTCAAATTTGACCTGGCGTCGCGAGCGAGCGCGCGCGCGCGACAACGACGACGACAGTTTCATTAGAGAGCCCCGGCGGAGTCAAATCCCGGCGATACGCTCCCGGCCCGTAATAACGACGATAATAATAATAATATGACCGTCGTCGTCAAAGGTCGCGGGACGGGTGACAGTGACGAATCGCAGCGAGTAAAACAAAAAGAAACCGTGCATACAAAACGGGAGGGTTCGTTCCCACGTCGCCGACTACCGTTTTCCCGACAACATATTTTCGTTCGTCAATATTTACCTGTGACGTGATAATTGCTCGAACTACGCCTATACTCTCATGACACCATCCCACCGTGTAGCTCGTGTTACAACAACTTGTTTTTTCAGTGATTACATCACTATAGTTTTCTTAAATTACGTATACCGAAAAAAAAAAAATTATTTAATTAAATTTGTACATAGTTGAAAATATTTCTAAGACAAACCTAAACTTTATGTATTTATTATTTACTTTAGCTCATGCCGCGATCGCGGCGTTAGAATTTCTGTAGGAATGACAATTGTATTGCAACAACAATATTTCAATTCGAAATAATATACGAGTGACATAACTGATCTGTGTGTCGGCAAAATGGGAAGATTTTTAATACCTTATAAAACCGATTTATCTGTCGGCAAAACGGGAGTCGGCGACGACGTGGAAAGACACGGACGCGAGGGAACCCTCCGGCGAACGATAGGCGCCGACGGCGATTCGCTGATATGTCCGGACCGAAAACGATACGTGCAGTTTTTTTTGCCAAACAAAAAACAAAAAATCGCCGAGGATTACGCTTTTTTTTTTTTTGTTTTTCTTTTTGTAACTACACCTTTGTGTACCGTTACGCGCGCGCAAGTCTCGAATCGGTCGAAACTACTTTCGAGTGTAAAAAAAAGGGGAAAAAAAAAAAAAACCCCGACGAGTTTTCCGAGTTCTGTGTTCGTTAGCCGCCGTTGAATATTTCAAAAGCCCCGCGCGTACACATTGTAGTCGCGGAATCGGCCGCGCAACGGCGGCCCGGCGGTATACGTATGCTCGAGGAGCGTTGTACGTATTATATACGTATATACGCGTGTATACCGTCGCGGTGAAGTTTTAAAGTGTTGCGACCGCGATCCGCAAACGGGCTTTTGCGCGGCGGCTTTCGCAGCAGCGATCCTTGATCCTCGGACCGTGAATGCCGGGGCCCTCTCAGCCGCCGCCGCCGCCGCCGCCGCCGCACGGTATTATTTATTTCTGCGGTCGTTTTCGAACCCGCGGAGGAGAGAGGGATAATCCAATCTCGAGAAACCGGGTGTATATAATAAACAATGCGGGGAGCTTTTTAAGTGCTTTCCGCCCACGACCGCCGCCCGCAGCCTTTATCTTTCCGCCGCCGCGCACCCGCCGCATCGTCCGCCGCGCGTTTCTTCCCGCCCGCCGTCTCCCTTTGACGACGACGACGACGACGACGACGCGCGGTATCATAAAACAGTAATGGCAAAAACGCGAGTCTATACCCGTCCCCGTCCCCGTCCGCGCCGCCCGTCCGTCCGTCCGTCCGTAATGTATACGCTCGCCCGGAGAGCGTACACGGACGCATCACAAACGACGTCGCCGTCGTACATACGTATACATTTTCGTCGCGGTACCCACACGGCGTCAACAGTTTTCACGACGACGACGACGTTATTATTTAAAAACACAATGCGACGAGCTCTGCGGGCAGACGTGCGTGCCGGCCGGGGGTTCGTCTTGTTCCCGGGCGGCCCGGGTTTTACCTTTAATGACGTGAAAACGTTTAGGCTTCCGACCCCGCGCGCCGTAACGGATTCCCGTCGCGCGAAAACGAGCCGTTTTTCACGCGGCGTACGTGTGCGCGCACGCGAGGCGATGGATAACGCGCAATATTGTTGACGTTGAACGAGACGGCGCGTCGTTATTGAAAAACCGGATTCCCGCGAAACGTCTTCGCGGCACGACAAGCGAAAACGAAAATCGAAAACGCGGCGCACGTTTTTGTCCGCTTTTCGTCGCCCGGCTTTCGACCGATCGGGAAAATCCCCCCCCCCCCCCCCCCTCTCCCCCCCTCTCCTCCGGGAAAAACCGACAGATATCGACGCGTCCCTCGTCTTACCTACGGACTGAGGTTTCCGGCGGAAAAGCGGTCCGCGGTCAGAAAGAGAAAAACAAAAACAAAACGCAGTAGTAAAAATCCGATACGTCGCGCGCGCGTACGCCGCTCGCACCCTCGACACCGTTTACGCGGTCGGCATATATTTTTATTATTATTATTTTTTTAGCGCGGCGTTTCCCCGTTGTCCGGCTTCGCCGTGCGCCCGGTAATGACGGTAACAGGTAACCGTGCAATCGTGCGGCGGCGACGGCGACGACGACGGTGGCGACGGCGCCGCCGCCGATGGGAAGTCGCGCGCGGAAGACGCGCACTGCCCGCCGCGGGTATCGTGAGAAATTCCCATCGTACGCCACGACGTCGTATCGCGGTGTCGCATGCGTATGGTTTACCGCGTGGTTGCCGTGCGCGCGCGTTAACGTTGCGTAGGCGCGATTCGAGTACGAATGCGACCAGAACCGGAGAAATACGAACGGACAACGCCGGAGTGTTGCGGTCGCCGCGATACCGGCGTAATCGATACGGCCATATTCGATTGCGCTCGTGTGACAAGAGCACTGTGAGATATTCGTGATTCCCGGACACACTCCGAGAGGCACGAACGCACACGCGCTCAAACGCACGCACACACATACACGCTCGCGCGCGCCCGCATTTGAAATCGAAACTGTACGACGCGGACGACGGCCGGAGTCGTAATATCGTTGCGGAATCCCAACCTCGTTGCCCGCGCGTTATTTGTATCGTTATGGTTTACGTAGCACGCCGCTACGTTACACTGTTACGCGGCCCGTAATATAAATTATTATCGCGACGATAATATCGGGTTTTTTTAATTTTTTTTTTCCCGCGATATTTCCGCGTGCATACGATACCGCAGCGACGTTACAATATTTGAGCGGCGATCGGCGGGAACGGCAGCGCTATTCGACCGGCCGTGCGGAGTGTATGGGGGAGGGGGGGGAGCGGACGGAGAAACCGAAATCGTTATTACAATAATATTATTAACGCCCCCCGAAACGATATATCGCCGTGCACAATAGGACGCGCGCATCTTAATATAATACGATATGTTATACACCATCGAGGTATAGGTATTTTTTTTTTCTCGCAACCGCCGGACAACGAGAGACGATTTTCCGCTACACGAAACGGCGGGTCCGCGAATAAACAAAACCCGTTCGAGCGCTTTTTCGGCGCCGTCGGTTTTTTTTTTTTTTCTCGTTTTCCCCGCCCGCAGGGATCGGCCCGGCAACCGTTCGGCAAACATCATACCGTAAAAAACACGGGTGAGGCGCGCGTAGGCGTACGCGCATCCCCGATTCCGGTAGCCGTGTTATAACGCGTACGGGCGTACGCGCGACTCCCCGGGGCTATTATACGATTATTACCCCCGCGCCGGAACGCACGCCTTTTACGATCAAGTGTCCCCCCCCCCCGCCGCCGCCGCCGCCGTCGGTCCGGCACTCCGGTATTGTGTTGGCGCGCACAAGAGACTCGTCGGAGTCGAAACGGACCCGGCGTTCAATCGGTGCGTGCGTGTGTGCGACGGGGCG